AATAAATATTTAAATCTTTGGACTCAGTAATTGTAGTCATTTTAGCATCGTAAGAACATGGTAAACATCTTAAAATTTTATTGACTTTTTAAGAATTTGATATCTCTCTACTTAGTGTATACAAGGATGTCACTATTTAGGTGAACCTAGTGTACATGTCGAATATAGTTTTACTAGATTTCATACAAAAGAGTTCGTAGTTATGTAATAAAATATTTAATATAGAATGTTTAGTCTCACTGATTCCTTCATACGTGATACACAGTCTATCCCATATCTCCTTACCAGTAGTAGATGTGGACACTTTTATGTAGTTTCTGATTTCAATGCGCAAAAAAAATAATTCAAGTATTTTGCATTTAAGCACGCAAGTTCCCTATCCTCATTATTCCATTCACTAAATAATATTTGAGTTTTAATGCCATTCAAAAGTTTAAAAGGTTCAGTGTAACCCTCTTGTACCAACATCCACATGCAGTATTCTATAGATTGTAAAAATGTAGACATTAGAATTTTCTAGAAAATAAATGGTATGTTGTCAAACAAGGATGGATGATTTATGAAATAATCCTCCGCAGTATTACGATTACCAAAATGTGCCATGATCAATTTTCTCAAGGTTTTTTAAAATACTATTTTTGAGACCCCACTCTGATACCAATTAAAAGTATGAGATGCACCAAGAGGGGGGGGGGGAATTTATATTTTTAAAATCTTTTGCTCAAGATAAAAAAATGAGATATACATAATCATTTAAGAGAATAAACTACTCAAACAAGAATCAAAAGCAAACACGATTTTGTAAACTTTAAAAAAATTATGTATAAGTTTTGTTTTTAATTTTAAAAACAAAAAATTCAACTAGAAATTTATCACCCTAATAATTCTCTCACAACTATAACAAAAAGTAAATTAAACAAATCTTCCACATAGATAACTAAAAGAAAACTAGAGTGCCTATAATAAATTATAAGAAGGTAAAAGAGTACGCAAACTGAATTTATAGTGGTCCGATTGAAATGACCTATGTCCATTCCCCAATGGTCCTCCTTTTTTGTTTTGCACTAACTTGAACTCATTCAGCACATAGCTAGGTGTATAAGCCCTTCTCTCTTATCAAACATGAAGAATAACATTTACAAACTCCAAAGATTCTCCATACTCTTTTCTACTCGGCAAAATGAAGATGCTATCCCTTCTTTTGCCTCGTCAGCCCAGCGGACATGTTGATCCCTCCTCTTACTTCCTTGGCCCGATGGAGATGTTATCCATCCTTTTGCCTCCAAGCTTAGCGGAGATGTTGTCCCTCCTTTCGACTCCTCACTCTTACAGGGACGTTGATCACTCCTTCTGCTTCCTATCACAATATTGTAGTTGCTGATCTTAGCCTCCTCAACTAGTGAGTCTTTCACACCTAAGACTCTTTCTTAGAGCTCCTCTCCAAGAGCTCCACAAAAACACAACTAGAGGACCCAATATGTAAGCTAGCTAAGAGAAACCGTGTTGATGCCCTCACCCCCTTAACTCCCTTAAGGCAAACTCCCTCTCTCAAACTCACCTCCTCTCTTCTCCCTTGAAATGGACTCTCTAAGCTCTCTCCCAAGAAAAAAACATCATTGACTGCTTAAGAACTCTTGTCCTAAAGACATAATAAAAGTTTATAAAGCGGGCACTCAAAAATCATGATTTTCAATACTAAGCCTTTTAATCGAACAATATGATGCATAGCTCATATAGTACGATTAGTTCATTCGAATCACAAATTATTCAGCAAATTATAGGGTGAATTGTACAATACAAACATTAATGATAATTTGATTTGATTCTTTATTCGTCAAAACTAAATTAGGTAATTTTAATTAATATTCGTACAGTACGAAATAGTTCGTACAATACAATCAATTCAAATTTTAAATTTGTCTAATTTAAGTCAATAGGATTTGATGCTAGGACTTTTAAAATAGATGATTATCATTTATGATGTGGTGCTAGTACAATATGATTTGTTATAGCCCAATTTAATGTAATCTCATTTAATTAAATATTTGAATTAATTTCTGATTGAACAGATTGTACAGAAAGATTTGAATCATAAAAAAAAATTAAATATTCAACTTTTAATCCCCTTAGTGTGTGCATGATTCCCTTGTCAATATACACCTAATACAGAAAATGACTTATAAATGAAAAGTACAATGTCAAACACAAACTGACTTATATACTTATGCTACACTATTTTGAGTGTTGATTCTTTACTTTTTCTCGATATATGCTGTATTTGAAAGGTTAGTGACACAAAAGAATAAATGCAATATCTAACCTAGAAATAAGAAAGGTTAGTGTTTGTAATCATTAAAATATATAGTCGAGCTCCCGAATTGTAACAGGATAAACCTCGCTCTTAAGGGGATTATGCAAGAGGAACATCTTACATGTAAGACTTTAATAATTATCTGACCATCCTCATCAAACAATCCTCCGTGTGATGTAGTTGTTTAACGAGGCATACTCATTAGGTTGCTCTCTTTTGAAGGATAATTTACTCTTTCAAATATGCTTCATAACTGAGTTTTTTAACTTAGGTACTTTCAGAGGCACCATTAAGGACACTGAATCAAATATTGCCTATGAAAGATATTAATACTCTATTGTAGATATGAATCAAGCTCAAATAGTAGTAAGTGGAAGAAAAAGATCTAGTTTTAGACACTATTCTTGATTAAATTGATATATAGAAGATAGACTTGAACCCTTTAAATAGATATAGTGCGAATCAAACTGAATACAAAGGTGTGTGCATGAGAGAGAGAGAGAGAGAGAGAGAGAGAGAGAGAGAGAGAGAGAGAGAGAGAGAGAGAGATGGTATACCTTATTATGTAATGGAAGGCTATATCTGTCTACTAGATGGGAACTTCAAGCAATTTTTAGATTGAGTGTAAATATCCTTAATGAGTTATTTTGAAGATAACTAATCTACTAGTGAATACTTGGAGCAAGTCGCCATTTCTTTTCCGGCGAGCAATTTGCATAACTAGGCAACTTTGTAAATCTCTTAAGCAAATTATACAATTCCATAAAATTGAAAAGAAGATCTAATCTGCAGTCAACTTATGATATTCAACTATTGTTAAACTCGAGACTTTAGACCACTTTGGCTTAATGAATTCATGGTGCTAGATAATTCAAGCAAAATTCATAATCAATAATTTATTAAACCCGATTAATATTCTCTTTGTTAACCCAACCAACTCAGTTAGATACACATTAGACTAATACGTTGTTCCGCAGGCTTACATAACATCATTCTAGATCTATATATACATGTATGTATTACTCATAAAGATATATACATGATTTATCTTTCTTTCTTTTCTATCTGGCTGTGACTTGCGACTTCTGTCTTAGAAGCGTCATCATGGTATCAGAGCATAGATAAGTGTTCCTTCTTCCTTCTTTAGTTTCTATTCTAATTCTTTCTTGTTCACCCTGCCACCCTCTCCTCCTGCAAGTCTTGCTTCTTCTTTCATGGACGGATCTACAACCTCCTCTCCATCCACGAACTCCACTAAACCTCATTCTTCAATCACAATCCCACCTCAACTTAAGTTCGTTCTCAACAATCTCAAAACTCTTGTCTCAAACCCGCTCACCACCGACAACTACCCGCTGTGGAGATCGCAAGTCGAAAAGATTTTCACGGTAAATGGGTTTAAAGGTTATCTTGATGGCACTTACCTCGGTCCGCCCTCCGATCATCTTTCTAACTCTTCCTCCGATAACTGGAACTTTCTTGACCAGAATATTATCGCTGCCTTGTTCTCAATCATCACCCCATCAATCTTACCCTACGTGCTATCTCTATCTCACTGTGCTGAAATCTGGGCTACGCTCGCCCATCACCTGCAAGCTTCAACCCGATCCCGTCTCATTCAATTAAAGAACAAGCTCCATCATCTTTCAAAAGGCGACCAATCCATGTCTCAGTATCTGCTCACCGTGAAATCCAAGGTTGATGCCATCTCCGCCACAGGAAGTACAATCGATCCCGAAGTTCTATATATGCTAAACGGCCTACCCGCGACCTACCAGGCTTTTAAAACTTCGATTCGAACAAACCTCCAACCCATATCCCTTGACGGATCTCTATACACTTTTTTGCAGCGAAGAAGTGAATCTTGCACAAGAAACTCAAAAAGAACTTCAATCTCTTAATCTCTCCAACAACCTAGTCGCCCTCGCTGCTCCCCGTGACCGTGGACGTTGTCGCAACTCTTTTCCTCTCGGGCGCCAACTAAATCGCAATACACGCACCTCCAACACACCCAACCGCAATGATAGATTAGCTAATCGAAATACTATATGCCATATATGCAATAAGCAAGGCCACACAGCCCTCAAATGCTGGTACCGTAATGATCCTACCTATCAAGAAACACAGTCCATGCAAGCTCTGTTCAGCCCAACCGAACCCTCTCGCCAAACAGATTGGTTCTGAACTTTAATCAAACAATATTCAATTTTTAATTAAATAAAGTTAATTTTAGCGATTCATATTTATCTAGGAGCAAGTCCATTTAAATTCTAACGGTTATCAAAAAAGCCAAGGGGCAAATTATTAACCGTATTTTGAGGGGAAAGTTAACATTGAATGTATAAAACTAATCATTATGAGTGAGTCGGGGAGATTCAGACAAAGGAATAATCTCTATTTAAAATAAAATGTATTTTATGAACATAAGAGATACTCAACCCCACTGCAGCTAAGATTGATTAAAATAAGCACAATTTAAGAAATCAAAGTATAACTTTAAAAAACGGAAGAAAGCCACAATTTAGGCTTCGTTTGGGACGGTTATTTTATTGCTTTCTAAAACGGAATTTTAGTACAAATTTTTTTATTTTTTAACTAAAACTCCGTTTTAGAAAGCAATAAAAAAACTGTCTCAAACAAAGCCTGAGACTTCGTTTGTTTGGGACGGCATTTTTAATGCTTCTTAAAAAAATTATAAAAATTCTAATATAGTAAAATAATCGTCCCAAATGAACCCTTATAAATTCCCACTGTAGGGTGGGGCAATAAAAATGAAAAGCACAAACTTTTTTACAAATTTTTGTAAAAAAAATAGTAAAAAAGCCGTACCAAATGAACCCTTGTAATTTTCCACTGTAGGGTTGGGCAATAAAAATGCAAAGCACAAACATTTTTACGTTGCCATCAACTGTTAAATAAATCTGGGAGTATAATTTTGCCTGTATCGTTACGATCAAGCTTTGCAAAGTGATTGCAAATCTGCAATATATCTCTCTCTTCGATCATTCTCATCTCCTTCAATTTGTATATTACAAACTCTGACTTGCTGGTAAGATAAACGAGAGTATTAGCATAAGAGCTATGACTGGCTATTAATAAATAAATTTTCAGTATTTCTAGCCAAAATTTCCTAAGTCCAATATATTCAGTAGAAATGCTTAAAAAATATGAACATTAGTGTGCACCGAAAAAAGATGAGTAACATTCACAACAAAAGCTTTACTCTGATCTTTAACTCGGTAGTCATCCACTTGAAGAAGAGCACAATGAACATTAGTAGCAAGGCTTTCATTTCTGGAACATTCAAATTTGAAAATCCAATGCTTGAAAACATTGGGAGTAGATAAGCAACACTGCTTTTGTGTACAAGGAGATGCGACTTTTTTCTCTAAAATCGTTAAGTAGAATACAAAGGATTGGCCAAATAGGACAACATAATCAGCAACAGAAGCAAAATTGAGAAAGCTAGAGATGGCTCCATTAGGATTAGAGTTCTGTTGGATGTTCTCTCCCTTGCTCGGTCGCAGCGACTCGTTCTATATTCCTCTTAATGTTCACATACACCTAACTAGTCCTCTTTCAAACCATCCTTCGATCTAAGGCAGAGGCCCTTTCTCTCGACATTCAAAGTTTCCCATTAGCACCTTAATGAACTACTAGTGCTGCAAAGAAATCACACATACTGTCCGGAGCCTCGTATCATAGAATATTTACCATTTTCTAGGAAACAAGACCACACACTTCACTCGCCTATCCAGACATCGTCCAACTTGTTGCTTACGATGAGTGCGAAGAAACCAAAATACTATCAACTGACCTTAATTAGAGGCCAACAAACTAAGGTGGGAGCCTGCCAAGTCCCTACCAAGATTTAAGTTTGGAAGCGATTCCAACTACTTTTTGTAGGTGAGGTAAAGCCCTCAGGCACAAGACTTATAGCAGAGTCAAGGCCCCCAGAAAAAAGAAAGTCTTTGTTTAATAAGGTGGCCTCCCTATTCTGAGCCGATTCACTTTAGCATGTCGTATGCAAATTCTGGCCCCAACATGCTTGCTTCTTTATGTTAGATTTTCTAAAAATAAAAGATCAAAATCAAATAGCAAACATATCCTATTAACTCAACCCTCGTTAACAAGAAAGTCTGCTAATGGGCATGTTGAGCACAATAAAGACAACCTCTCATACATATAAACCTAGCCCTTTAGACCGAATCCCTCAATTGTAGCAAGATTCGTAATAAGCAGTGTGTGAGTCCCCTGTGCTCGGAGAGTGTAAGTTATTACCTTCACGAAGGCTAAAAATTCTGGCATATGCAAGGTTCACCTAAAGCGACCAACTTTGGGCGGAAGTCCGACGAAAGTCCGACGACTGGCAGAAATTTGACGACGGGCAGAAGTCCAGTGTCGGACAGAAGTTTGACGACGGGAGGAAGTTTGGCGTCGGGTAGAAGTTCGATAAAAGTTTGGTGACATGTGGAAATCCGACTACGGATATATAGAAGTCCGGCGACGGGAGGAATTCCGACGTCAGGTATAAATTAGGCGACAGGTGGAATTCCGATATAGCATAAAAGTTCGACGATGGACAAAAGTCTGGCTATGGGCGAAAGTTCGACATCAGGTAGAAGTCTGGCAAAAGTCCAGTGACGAGAAAAAGTCCGAGAATGGACGCGGAAGTCATTCGTCGGTCTGTTGTCGGGTGGAAGTTCGACGATAGTCGGTGGCCAGGCTGAAGTCCGACGGTGGTCGAGAAGGAGTCTGGTGGCAAGAGAACTATCTTCCTTATCTTCTTTCCTTGGGTCCACTCTCATAAGAAATGAGAGATTTATTTATAGTTTTCTGAGTTGCATGACCAATAATTTAGGAGTGGTTTGAATAGATGATCGATGTTGATTCCCTTGAGCATGGACAGTTTACTAGACATTTGAAAATCTTAATGATATCAGAATTTGGCGATCTTGGGCTCGTTGGATTCGTCTCGTCGAGATGCTTGATTCGATTATAAGCACGTCACATTTGAAAAATGTTTGATAATCGAAACTATGGTTTGAACCTTCCAAATATACTTCGAGTCATTGATTTAGATCCATTTGAGCTCGGATTGGGTCGAATTTGATGTTGTTGGGTACGTATTTTCGAGACATTCAATTCGACTATAAGTTTGTTGAAATTGGAGTTCAAATGGTCCTAGATTTAATTTTTAAAATTTATAACTTGATTTTGTTTCGAGATTCGTGTCAGATCAAGATAATTTTTTTGATGATATATCAAATATATATAAAATAAATAAATAAATAGAAAAGAGAGAGAAAACAAGAAACCCCGTACCTGATGAATCCATTACGATTGATATTAGCAGCAATCAAATCCTCCACCGTCAAGTCTCTCTGAAGCACCAACTTTGCGATTCTTCGGTGTCTCCGGTCAATTCTCGCCTCCACCAAATACAAGAAGGCCCTCGCCACAGCCAGCGTCGAGACCAGCAGCCAGAAGGAAGCAAACACTCTCCCTTTCAAAGTTTCGAACGCTCTATCCCCATAACCTACCGTTGTCACCGACATCACCGCCAAATAAAACGAATCAATCCAATCCAAATCCTCTAGCCAGTGCAGCGCGACGGTCCCCGCCCCAACACACAAAACAACCACCCCGATCGCGATCCCCACCTTCATCCTAATCCTCATCCGCCCCTTCTCGGCGTCGAACGCATAGGCAACGACCCCGCGAGCGCCAGCGGCTAAAATGAGGCTCTCCTGGAGCTCCAGGAGATAGGAAACCGCAGCAGAAAGGAGCACATCGAGGATGCCGAAGCCGACGAGGACAAAAATGCACGAGATGGCTTTGGTCAGCGGGGTGAGGGGGGTGATGTCGCCGTAGCCAATGGTACAGAGAGTGACGATGCAGAAATAAAGGGCATCGACGGAGGGATGGGTCTCGATGCCAGAGTAGCCGTCGGAGTTGGTAGAATAAATAAGCACGCCGAGACACAAGTAGAGGAGGAGGAGAGCGGCGGCGTAATTGAGGACGGAAACGGACGGACCGAGTTTCGGTTGCTGCTTTGAGTAGGCATCGCTGACTTCAGATCGCAGGGTTCGCAGGATGTCCATGGTCGGAGCGGTCTTCGAGCGGTGGAGTAAGGATTTCCGGCCTGGAAAATGCGCCGGTGTCGGAGACGAGGATGAAGATGAGAGAAAGCCGCCGCGGCTTTCAGTATCGTCGGCTGCAGGGTACGTGGCTTCGATCTCGGAGCTTGTGATTGGCACGGAGGGGTGGGAGAGGAGCAGACACCTGAGAAGAAGCGGCTCTTCTTCTTCCATCTCACAAGCAACATCTAACCACCACAGTGCTTCCCGTGCCTTGAAGAAAAGGCATGATACTTGGATCGGTGAACACGAAAATCATAACTTTAATCGAAGAGAACCGTGGGGAAATTTCACTATTTCTCTTGCCTATGCGCCTCAACGTCTCTGAGACGGAAAAAGCTTTCCAGATGCAAGTTTTGACAAGTGGCGTTAACACTGTGCAAGCATGTGGATGGCAAGAAAACGTTACAAATAAGGAAGGAAGAAACGGCGTCAGAAGCCATCGTGTTCCTTTTCCACGGAAAAGGGATCGAGATTCCCCTTATGTCGCGATCTTAAGAGGCGACTGCTGTCTCATCACGCTTTATTTGATCATTTTAATTGTTCTCCGGTTCATACAAGACAAAATTTTCATACTTTTCATTTACTCTTTATAATTTAATGGATTTAGTTGGCCTTAAATTTGAAAATAAATGGACGTTTATAGTTTAAGATCAAATAAATCTCATAATATATAAAAATAAATTTTTTTATTCTCGACATATATTATCAAAAAATTATATTGGTCAGGCACGAACCTCAAGGCAATATTAAATTAAAATTTTCAAAAATTAAATTTGGGATCATATGAATTCTGATTTCAATAAATTTGCAGTCAAACTGAACGTCTCGAAAATATGACCCCAACAACACCAATTTCGGCAAATCCAAGCTCAAATAAGGTCCAAACAAAGACCAGAAGCACATTAAGAAAGTTCAAATCATAATTTGGATTACAAAGTGATTTACAAACATGACATTCTTATAGTCGAATCGAGCGGCTCGACGAGATGAATCCAACGAGCCCAAGATTGTCAAATTCTAATATCATTAAGACATTCAAATGCCCAATAAACAATCCAAAATCAACGGATTTAGCATCGATCGTCCATTCAAACCACTCCCAATTACCCTTGATCTTCCTTCTATTTACTGGTCATGCTACTCTCAGAAAATTATAAATAGATCATTCATTTCTCATTGAAAGGGTGCCCAAGCAAGAAGAGAAGGAATATAGCTCTTTTGCCACCAGACTCCTTCTAGACCACCGTCGAACTTCCGCCTGACAGCCGACCAACACCAGACTTCTACCGAACTTCGATTGACATCGAACTTCTGCCCGACTGCCGATTAATACCAGATTTCCACCCGACCACTGAACGTCGCTAGATTTTCGATCTCTGCTCGTAACCGGATTTCAACCCGATGGTTGATTATTGTAATATAATGATCCTCAATTTTAGAGACGAGTCAATCGCTTGTAATCCATTAATCAAACACTAGTGGAATCATTTCAGCTGGGCATGGCCACGCTGTTTTTATCATTTTCTAGGGATTTCCACATAAAAATATTGGTGTTCATTTTTTTCTCTTATTTGTGTGTTGGATATTCGTACAACGGTGAGACAAAAACTCATAACTCTATTGCCGCGTATATTCTTGCCCGCAACGGTTCTAATATAATGTTTCAATGTGAACATAGTTTTATCCTAACTCTTATATGAAAGAAAAATAATTATTTTTTTATATTTAAATATATATTGAAATATACTAAAATATTAATTAAAATTTTTTTCAAACATTTAGATCAATTAAAACAAATTTAAACATGCATCTCATAAATTAGTTAGACTCGAATTCAAAATCTCTTAGTTGATAGCTAAATTTTCCAACCAACAGATTAAAATGAACTGCATAATTAATAACTTTCTTTTCTCAATGATTCACAATTTAGGACCGCGCACCCTCGCCTGCTCGCCCGCTCGCCGGCGCGCACCCACGGTCCTTGTCGGGTCGGGTCAACCCGGCAACCCACCGGGTCGGGTTCGGGTTCGCATTTCCTACCCGTTTACCTATCCGGGTCCGACCCAAACCCGACTCGTGACCCGAAATTGACACCCCTAGATGCTAATGTCCGCTTTATAATTATTCATTTAGAGTGTTCCCCTCCCAACAGCTAGCTAGCCGTTGAAGGCCGAATGGCCTGCATGCCATTAAATCCACCTTTTTATGTTATCCTTTGCTTCTCTCTATCTTCTCTAACTATAATTTGTTTGTTGAAAACTTGCTAGATTATTTGAGGTTAGTATTCAAGAAATTTCGTTTTTTTTTTTCATATTCATTATATTATAAAATTTAGCACACAATTTCATATAATTTAGAATACATTTTATTTATATCATTATATTGACAAGTGGGGTTTTCGAAGTGATCAAATCTTGGATGATTATATTGTCGATAGTGATCATATTTGATGGTAGTTTTATACAGGATTTGTATGCTTTCAGAACATAGTCATTAGATTTGATATGGGTTGTTATTATGCTAGAGTTGTTATGCATAAAACTTTACTGATTAATATTGTAAATCATTGACACTTCATAAAAAATCATATTAGTTGGCACAAATCTCGATGTATATTTGAACAAAAAATTTTCAAAATTAAATTCAGTAATATACAAACTTTGATTTCAGCAAATTTATGTTCAAACTGAATGTTTTGATGAGACGAAGCTGACAATTTCAAGTGGCACAACCCGAGTTTGAAAGAGCTTATATGAACCACTTGAAGAATGATTGAAAACTTTAGGGCTTTAATTAAATAACCAAGTGATCTTTAAATTTTGCATGCTTATAATTAAGTCAAGCTTCTTAATGAGATGAATCCAAAGAGCCCATGATCACATAAATTGACTTCAATAAAACACTTAAATGCTGAAGAAAAGATATATGATCACAGGAATCATTACAAACCATTTGATGGAGTTATAAATTTTGGCTATATTTATGGGTCATGTCACTATCAAAAATCTATAAATATGCCCCTATATTAGACTTTGACTTGACACTAAAGAGAGATCTAAGGCTCTAAGGAACTCGAAGAAACACAACTAGACTATCATTCCACCATCATTATTGGACCAATAATCGATCGTTGCCATCAAATCAATGCTCAACCTCCATTATTGGGCCACCGCTCAATAACACTATCGTCCCATTACCTGATGTCAGTGTTGAGCCACCGTCCAATTTATAGTATAATAATATCATATGATCACCATTATTACATCACAATCATTCAATATCTATAATACGACTATAATCCTTTTGACTATTATCATTTGAATACAGTCTTCAAACCAACATCGCACAACTGTTATCCTTTCAACCACCGTAGCTTAACTACAGTCTTGAGACCACAATCGACTCTATCTTTCCAACCACCATTGTCCAACTATGGCCCATCGACTACAACCCTTCTAACCAAAATATCTAGTTGTGGTCCTTCCGATCATTATTGTCCGACTATAATCCTTTGACCACTATTAACCTACTATGATTCTCCGATCATCGTTGCCTATCAACTAGGGTTGTTCCAACCACCATTACTTGACTATGATTCTCTAACCACCATCGATCAATTTTAACCTTTGGACCTCCATACTTAAGAAATTGATACACGCTATTGAAATCTAGTATGACTCCCAACTTTAGCATTAAGATTTATGTTGGATTTCTGCTATAGGACTTTTCTAACTTCAACCAAACAATATATACTTTATAGTGTATTACTACCTTCCCTCGAGGAAGGGAAACATTTGTAATTGACAATAAATAATAGTGAAATGTTAAGACAAGGAAAATATTTTTAATTGGTGCATTTTCTATGTAAAAGTTAATTAATTAATTATTTTATGTAAGAGTTTTTCTAAGGATTCAAAGTATAGAAGAACTACAATAAAATATCATAGTGCCAACATTTAAGCACCGTCGTGCCACACGGGCACAAATTTTATCCTAAGAATAGAGAGGTTGGCATTGCAGCATCAACAACATCAATATTTAAGCTCTGTTGTGCTACAAGGAGAATTATTTTGGCAAAAATAAAGAGATTGGTACCAAAAATGCTAATATGTATACAGTATAGTGCTAGCAAGGAATAATTTATTGATATATAGATATAGAGCTTGGTTCTATAACACCAATATTCATACTTCATAGTATAATGGAGTTTTCAAAGAGAAAATCTATGGTGCACCACAACGCTAAATTTCAAAACACTGCAGCACTATTATAACACCTCCTATGAAGAATCAGCACCAAGATGGTCAAGGAAAGGGGTATTTACACATGTGAAGTTGATTCAAGTAAAGCTTCTCCATGCTATGGAATAGCGTTGTGGTATTGTAGGCCTACCAAAGCAAATTGGTAGTATTTGTGAGTTATGTATAAGGATCTTAAAGTGAGATGGGAGTTATATTTTTATTTATTTTTTTACTTCTTTGTTAGTTTGTAGTGAGAGTAAGTGTATGATAGTTTGCAAGGGGATTTGGAAGTAATTTCTTGGAGAAAGGAATGACTCCAAGCCTAGATTTTTTGCCCTTTCTTTCTTGAGTCTATTTTTATATTAAGTATATGTTAGCTTAGCAATCATGCGCACACACATATTGGAGTTAAAGTTGCATATTTTAATTTTTTTTGTTAATCATATTATACGATCTAGATTGTACTATGTGATCTAATAAAAAATATAATTAAGTGAGATTAATTAAAATTGACTTATAAATAATCATATTATTATATGATTTGCATATTGTACTATATGATCAGGTATATTTAGAAACTCCACCGTCAAATCTTGGTTACTTAAAATTGGTAAATTTAAACTCCATCATCATATGATTTTAAGATTATTTTGGTTGATCTTTGGCTTTAAAAATTAGCATATATATATATATATATATTCTATAAAAAAGTTATTTTTATTTTTGGTCTATTTTTTAGTTGGTAAATCATTTTACTTAATCACTTCAGTATTATTTTCAGTTTTATTTCAAAGTAAAAGATTTCAAATGTCACAATTTTATTTTTCTTGAGCCAGTGTCTATAATTAAGTGTATATTGACTTAACAATCGAGCACACACTTATGTTAATCATACTATAGTGTATTATAGGATTAGTTCAAATAAAAAGTAATTAAAATGTTTACCTAAATGAGAAAAATTATATTTTGTTATAGCTAATCGTACCATATCGACACATCGTACATGACAATTAGTTAATTTTAGAAACTCCGCTGTCGAATGCTACTTACTTAAAATAGGCAAATTTAAAAGTTAAAAATTAAATAGTTTGTATTGTACGAACTTCTTCGTGCTGTATAATCTTTAATTAAGGTTATCAAATTTAAGTTTAGAGATTAAGAAATCAAATCAAATCTATCTAATTACTCATCATATAGTACAATCACATACCATACCATACGAACCATCTTTCTTTTTAACTTTTTGCATTACTTTTAATACTTTTATTTTCTTGCAATCTAATATTTCAACACTCTAGTTTGATTGTGGTTGAACTTATGATGAAAAAATTATTGTGATTCAAATTCGTTTTAAAAGAAACAAAAATAGAAAAAGAAAAAGAAAAGAAAATATTGTTATTAGTTTTCTACAAAATCTAGAAACACAAAAAAAAAAATGTATTTGTTTTGAGTTTTTTGGTGAGTTAGATCTATTTCATCTATTCAAATGCTTCCGCATAAAATCAAACTTTGATTTTTATTCAAGAAGATTTTTGAAGAAATTTTTTAAATCACAAAGTCACCCCCTCTTGGTATGTCATCTTCATTATTAGGGCACAATTGTGCACTTGCATATTAAGCATAACAAAACAAACTATTCATATAAAACCTTTATCAAAATATTGGCAGAGAAGAACAATAGCATATTACTTAGAATATTATCAAAATCTATAGTCTCTCAAAGCAGACCTAATAGTTTAGAATGTGGAACATATAACAAAACTAAATTAGTAAACATAGCATACTATATCATAGATAATAAGAATTTAAACACATCACATCAACTGTTCAAAATAAATCACATTCATTCCCTTTAGGCTCTTATACATCTCAATTGATATTAAAATTAAAAGCCCTTATGACTTCTTCTACTAGCATATCAGATAACAAACGCTTATAACAACTAATGCTTAGCATCATAAATATTCCAAATTTTATGCCCTTATAGCTCTCTAAACAAGACATCAGAATTGCTCAAATTCACACATTTTAGACATATAAATTTAAAAATAATTGCATTTTTTAAGATATAGTAGACAATAATTTATCATATAATTTCATAAAACGCCATAATGGCAGGGAATAGACAAAATTTGGTATAAACCTTTACACAAATTTTTATATTTTCAAATCACAACCAAATTACCATACATTTCTCATAATTATGTTTTGAGACTTTTATTGTACTACAATACTATTTATTTAATGTCAGAGTATTTTTTAAGATGCTTAAATTTATAGGGAATCAAAAATATCATATGAATATTCATAAATAATATATCAAAATGTATAAAATATTGTAATATATAACATATCAAAAATTATATGATGAAATTTTTTTAGACGTCACAATCTATCCCCTTTATATTGAAATTTCAAAAATTAAATAAAAAATATCAAAAACTTTGAATTATTAAAATCTAAGATAGGGGAAATACAACCAACCTCAATCTAAATAATATCCCAAACTGGCTAGACAGACAAAATTGACCCGAAGCTGCCCGAAATGGGCTCTCTTTACAATTCCCAGTCTTTCTCTTTTCAGTTGGCCACCTTAGGGAAGAAATTGTTTTATAAAATAAAATTTCAATGAGTTTTGACATATATATATATATAATCATTTCATTGCATCGCAACATTCAAACATCAAGCGCCACAACACTCCCTTGAAAATTTTCAGAAATACAAATTGCATTCCACTCCCAACGTCATAACTCTCCTAAAAATATATTTCCTCCTATTTTTAGAATGGAAGGAGAGTTAAGTATCGCAGTGCTCCAAAGAAAAAAAAAACGCAAGCAAAATTTCACGCATAGACCCCTCGGGACATGCTCCAAAATAAAACTAATGAATCCAAAAACATACAAGGATGTCCACAATACATAAATTATAAAAATTCAAACACACGTACAAAACTTACCATATCATTTCAAAATATTGTTGTAATATATATTACACTACCATGGTAGCAAAATCACCAACTCAATAATGACTCTCACCGTGGTGATCGAAGACCTAACAAGCTCCCTATGACATGGAGATCAACAAACATGTCTTTTAGCAAGGGAAACAACATCATAACACAAAGAAGAGACCACCTTTGCCTTATTTGACTCAAGCTCCACCACCTTACTCAACTTGCCATTTCCCACCTCAATCGACTCAACAAGTATCGCCATCATCATCATCATCTTCTTCTTCTTCTCGAGTAACTTGACAAGACATCCTCCCTTTGACCTCCATCATCATGTGTTTACAAAAACAAGCCTTCCATCATTTATGGCTATCCACATTATCATTTTTTGCAAGGCTCAACTTGGCCATTAGATATAAATTAGAAGAGTACTTAATCAAGGCAAAAGAAAGGAAGAAGTAGAGCCCTATCAATACCCTTCACCTTTATTTATAGCCAAAGATGATATAGAGGTCAAATTAGTGTCATTTTGAGAATCTTGGATGAAGGCACCCCTCTCAAGTTAATAGTAAAAGCATGACAATAATTTCTATCTACTCTCCATCATTTGATAAAAATAGTTAATATTTTTCTTCTTAATTCTCTTTTCCTTTTTTACAAGTTGTTACTCAAAAAAATATGTGAATCCAAAAATTAAATATATGTTAACACAGGCCCTTGTAAGAAACTCATATGATCCAAACAAGTTCACACCTAAGGGCATCTCCAACCGAAAATGTCATTTTTTACTCCAAAATGCAGGGAAATAAAAAAATGCTGTGTTTCATCTCCAATCCAACGCCATTTTGCCGCTAAAACAGTCGTTTTCTTTCGCGCCTTTCTTCCCAACCTGTTCGGTAGAGAGAAAAAAATGGCACAGATGAACAGTGCGACGCCAATATTGGCGTCGTACTGTTCATCCGCAATCAAATGGCGTCAAAAATGGCGATCGGTTGGAGCAAAGCAAGAACGGCAAACAAGTGTTTGCCGTTCGGTTGGAGATGCCCTAAGAGGCACGACTGAAAAGAACACGTGCTAGCAAGCCTCACCATGATTAGTAGTTACCAAAACCATCATTAAGCGAAGAAGTATTCAACCTAGTAGATCTTGCAGCATATAAGCTCACTCCTACATGATCAAATCAAGGAAGCACATATTATTAACAAGTTCATACATATGAGTTGCCTCAACAAGCTATAACTGACAAGAGACGATCCTATTCATAATGATCAATTAATATTTTATTTACTCTCAATATGCATCAACTCCCTCATCCTATTCTCTTGCTATAACTGATCAAGAGACGATCAAATGTTATTCCCCTACATTACACATTGAATCTTCCATTCCGAGAGTAGCAAAATCCTAAGTGAGGTAGCAATATGTGCTGCTGCAGCTTTATAAAAGACATTCAATCCAATGGCTATTCCTAACAATTGTATAGTTCTTAAAGCTTCAAGTATTCCAAGGAAACCGGCCAGAAGAAAAATGTTCAAACTCACATGCTTCCAACCAGGAACTTCTGGAAATTAAGCTCTGGATATATATTGATCAAACAAAGAATCAAAAACAAAAATCACAAGTTCCCAGACACCTCTTTTTTTGTCACTCCTATAGATAAATAAAATGCCATATAGCTCTATCATCCATGTAAAAAACAGGATGATAAAATCCAACTATAATCACTTTTTAAATAGTAAGATGACAAGTAAATGCACCACTTTTAAGTAGTTTAATGGCATAATTGTAGAGACAACTAATTAAGAACCAATTGCTAGCAAAATGACAAGCAGTTAATAACAACCTTTTGCTCAGTGAGGTATAGACATTAAATGATGTCCTCAGCTCTCGAAGAATCGAAGTTCCACCATTGCCTCTTGATGTTTTGGAGAGTACCATAATGAGGCCTTTGCAGATCCCAGAACTTTCAGAGCCCAGTCAATGGCGAAAACTTGATCATCCAGCTGAGCCAAATACTTTCCATTCTCTGAATCCAATAATATTCTGGAATCAAAGCGGAAGCTGAAGGGACCAACAATCTGCAAATGACTTGAAAGGTTAGTAGGATGACTGAATCTCATTGTCAATGATGACAAAATGTAAAAGACAAGGGCAAATTGTAGCAAGAGCCTTACATATAAGGCCAGATTAAAGTAGGGTTCTCATTTTCTTGAAATCAAAATATATGTTTCCTCCATTTTTATGTTGGATTTTATATGGATCCATGTAGAGTATCAAGATTTTCTATTTGTTAAGCAAGAAAGTATAAGATATTTTCCCATAAGTCCACACAATTGAACCTAATTTCAACAGTTTAAATCATAAATCTTGATCCGTAATCCAAATATGCTAAAAGAAGCCCATAATAGATGTAAAATAGAGTTAGGAGGCTTTGAGTTCTGACTTGAGTAGGATCAGGCTTAAAGTCAGAGCCATTGGCAGCAATTTACATTGTTAGCCACACCTAAGGTAAGCTGTAGACACCCCTATTATTTCCTTCTTTTAAGGAACCAAAAATGTGACAGAATAACCAATCACCCTAACAAGGTTTGTAATTTTTTGCATTTTTTTTCTTTGTTTTCTTATTTTCTTCTTCCATTTCTTTTTATGATCCAATAAGTTGCAATTAGCAACACGGACCTAAACAAATAACTTTAACCAACGATGCAAACCTTTACAAACAAGCATGATAGGTCAGGTGAGGCAAATTGTCGGTAAAGGTTAGAGACTCCACCTTTACAAACTTTAACCAACGATGCAAACCATCCAAAGCGGTCTATTTATATGGGATTGCATGGAAAGGTGAGCAGCTCCAACACAAGGCATCGATAAAAAACACGATTCATTGCAGGAATTGCACCAAGAAGATGCGGTTCCTAATATTCATTAATGAGATACAGAAGAAAGGCCCATTCAGATAGGTTTAAAACTAGAATAAAATTTTTGCGCTTTTGTGAAGTCTTCTCAAGATGATTTTAGTTGAGAATTTGCAAGTTCCCTTCTTGGTGTCCATTAGATCATCAAAAACTTTTTGATGATAAGCTTACTTATATTACTACATGAAATTCTCCATTTTTGGATTTTAACTGACCGTAATTCTTTGAAAATCATATTTGACAAATTTTTCTAGTCAAATTTGAAATCAAAATAAGACAAATTCTTATTAGTTATTTTTTAATGACGGGATCTTACCCCTAAATCTTGTCATCATTTATATCTGCAATTTCATGTTCAAATTAAAACTAAAAGTTGAATCTACTACTGTTTATAATTCCATCAGAAAAAAAATTCAAAAATCATTAACCACATGATTGCTTGGACAAACTTCTGAAAGCTTTAGAATAATCTTCCAAGAGGCTCCTTAGCTTGAGAAATTTTTTGTTTGGGTAAAAATATCCTAACACTTTGTGCGAGAATGATATTTTTATGCAACAAAAGAACATGCTCTATTTGATTTTGTTTTCTTTAAATTGTTGACACCTTTAAGAAAAAAAAAGTTTGTTGAATATCAAGTTTAGACTTGAAACGACCTTTCAATAAATGAGTTTGCATCCTCTAGACTAGTGTTCTTTAGCTGAGTTGAGAATTAAGTCTTACATGTAGTGTCGGTTGAGGAGCAGGCAATGATGTGGCAACCTGTGTAGACAATGAAGCAAAGTCATGGAGCAGGTGATGAAGCTGGCAAAGGGGGCAATTACACTAGTTGAGAACAATAAGATGAATACGTAAGATGAATTTTCGCCAAAGGTGTATATGATGAGCAGGAAACAAAGTTGCATGAAGTACATATTGGATGAGTGAGGGCAAAGCAAGCATGAAAAGTTGCAAGAAATAGAGTAGATAGGGAAGCAAGCAATACTATTGCATGAAGAGATACAGATGAAAAAGTCGGTTGATGAGCAGATCTATATGAAAAGTACATTAGGCAAACTTGGCTAGCATGTAGAGGTGCAAGCTCCGAAGTTGCATAATAAGATGAGGCGATGGAATTGAAAAAGGAAGCGACAAAACTTGCATGCTTAGGTGCAAGCAATAAAAATAAACAAAGAGCAGCAAAGAGGTGAAACCAACAAAGCTGATTAAGGATATGATGAAGTGGTATGAAGAGGTTAAGAACATGGAAACTAGGAATGGATGATGAAGCGATATGAACAGTTTTAAGTCATGAAACCAGCTGATGATCATGCAACAAAACTGGCTAAGGAATGTACGACGAAGCTAGCTGAGAAGTGAGCAATGGAGCAGGATGATGTGCGAGGGATGAAGTTGCAATATTAATGCAGTCATCGAAATATCCTGCTAGATTTAAAATAAGTGGTGTAAAAAAGTAAAAGTTTCCTCATACTAGAGGAGGTGTGGACATACACTATTGTGAAGTCTAGGATCTTTTGTGGGTCACCAAAAAAAAGGTCATTAAGATCAATATGGTTGCAATCCGAGAGGGAGGTCCTAAAGTAGGTTGCCACTCAGACGACGTGGAAATGATCTGACTTAGCCACCTTTGACTGTAATATCACTACCGTCAGAAATCAAGGCCGTCAAGTAAGTCTCCCATAAGAAGAGGAAGAATCGCTCTAAGATAACACCTAGAAACAGAGCTACCTTCCAAGAAGAAGGCATCCAAGTAGATTTCACTCTAAAAGAGATAGAAATCGATCCAATCTGACAAAAATCATTCGGAGCGGGGTTCCCATCTAAGAAGGTCTCTAAAGACACTTATTCTGAAAAAAGGCAAAGTCAAGTAAGCCTCACACGTAGTACTGAACGAACAATTATTATGTCCTCCGACCGGATGCAGAGGAACATCCGGTCGCAGTCAAAAATCGCGCGGTACCGAGGTGTACCGAGTTTTTCAACGAAAAACTCGGTACACCTCGGTACCGCGCAATTTTTGCCTGCGACCGAATGTTTCTCTCATTCGGTCAACCGAACCAAATAAAAGCATAAATTCACCGTAACTTAAAACTAGAAGAATTTTACAATTCAATGTTCAAAGACAGGTAAGACGGAAAGAAACTGTACCTCGGGATACTGTATGAGGAGGCCTGATAAACAACACAAAAGAGAATAATGAACACAAAGAACAAAGATTATGTTATTTAGTCTTATAGACCAACATCCACTATAAAGAAAGACGAAGACTTCTAATTATTACAATGATCTCTCATATTTCACAAATCGCTAAAAAAAATGAACAATCCTAACTTAGCCAAGCACTCAATAAAGCAATTCTAGACTTGTGTGATATGCTGATTTTAGTCTTGTCTCATATTGCTGATTTTGGATTCCCACAAAAGACTTGATCAATTCTGTATAAACCAGAACTTATCTCGGAGTTATACCAGCTATATATAAGAAGATTTAATATGTAGCTATCGACCTTAGTTAAATTAGAGTTATCATAACTAATCATAATAAATAATATTGCAAAGTTTGTCAAGTTCATCCTCCAAGGCCAAACTGAGGTACTCATGATAACATTATAATACTTGAGACGTTTTTGAAAATATTGCATTTCTAAGAGCAACTGAAGTTCCAAGAGCTTCCTTTGCGAAATAGAATATAAAATGTTTTGATAATTGTTGGCCTCCATACATATTCCATGAGCAATCGAGTGTGATAAGAAGAATGACTGACGAGGAGAACGATCGACCAACACAACTTTGTGCATAGCAAGCTTGAAACGCTTCCACGTTGTGAAAAATTATTCAGAGGTCATCTATTCATGAAGTGTAGTGCATGACTTGCCCATAATTTCAAATTTACCTAAGAAATAACTCGCATGCAACTCGAGATGCAATGATAACCATGATGGTGGCAAGCACAATGTCACATAAAATCACCCGTACATCACTAGATCGTGAAACAGACTACGATGTTGCATCTAGAGCATCGAAATTCCCAAGTGGGACCCTTTGCATACAATTTGACTGACCGCAATAAAAAACAATGTACTATTGACGCAATATTGTGTAGCGTCGCCTAAACATTGCCCGTTCATGAAACGAACGTCGTCGTTGTGTCTAAATGTTAAAATCACCTAGAAATGGCAATCATGTTGCATGAGTTATCACGCAAGAAAAAAGGGTAGAATTTGCCAGCATGCGAAGTGACGACACAGAGATCAAGCCATGCGAATAAAAACCTGGACTCAAATATTAAAGTTCTTGCAAAATAAAAATGATTTCTTTGAGTATTGTTTCATTTCTAACCAATCTGTTTTCTAAAAAACTGACCTAGAGCCTAAACCATTAAAACTCTACCTGAATCATGAGGATAGGTTGGGGTGCAAAATGTTCGGAACCCACGATTTTCCAAGGACTTTATTGGGAAAGGTTTCATTTTCAATCTTTAATAGTCATATGTAAGCTATACAATAACAATAACAACAACAAGCCTTTATCCCACTATATGGAGTCGGCTACATGAATCCTTTTTCTCCATTGTGTCTTGTTAAGAGTCAAATTCTCATCTAAATCTAATTAAAAAGGTATTTTCTAATACATTCTAATCAAGTCTTTTTTGGTCTAAGTTTATCTTTCTTAACATAAATCAAATCTAATACATCTACTTTCCTAATCGGGTCATCGGAAGGCCTCCACTTTATGTGACCAAACTATCTAAGGCGACTATCTCTTAATCTTATCTTCCATTGGAGCTACTCCAACCTTTTCAAGTATATGCTCATTTCGTATCTTATATCTAAAGAGTAAAGCCACTCATCCACCTGAGCATCCTCATCTCTGCAACACATAACTTAATATTATTCTTCTCTTTTAATGGCCAACATTCTACACAATAAAGCATTGTAGGTCTCACTACCATCTAATAGAATTTTCCCTTAAGTTTGGGAGTGACTTTTCTATCATACAATAAGCCCGATGCATTCCTCCACTTCAACCATCCAACATGAATTCTACTAATAATATCCCTATATATTTCACCATCACTCAAAAGACCCAATATATCTAAAATGTGTACTATTATTAATGACTTGACCAGCTAAAGTCATAATCCCCCACTAGATCATTATTATTAA